GGACATGTAAAAATACCCAAAAATAACACCAATGTAGTAATAAAATTTGATCATTCAGTCCAAAGACAACAAAATTACAAAGTTCCACATCTTCTATCTTGTACAAATTTATGTACTCTCTCTGATTCACATATATACAGCAAGCGTCACTTTAGAAGAGTACATAGGTACAAAAGGATGAAATTTTTTTAATTGCTCAACTAGGATAATTTCTGGTGCTTACTAAGCTAAAAATAAACTAATTAAAGATGCAATGTCTCCATTTATGTATCATTAAAATTTGCAACATTATAGCTCACAAGTCTGCCAAAAAAATAGATTCACTCATACTTTTAGCAGACTTTATACTCTGTACTTAATATAGACAGCAATTTAAGTAAGACTCCTTTGCATTACAACAATGAGGATGATACCATACCTAGTATATTTGTTGTCATTAATCAAGGTTTGAGTAATAATAAATTATTTGTCAGTTCGGTGTTTGATCGGCAGATCAGCATTAGAACATAACATATGCTAAATTATTTGTTATCAATGAAGCCTCAAAAGGGTAGCTTTCAACATAACATATGCTAAATTACTTGTTATCAATGAAGCCTCGAAAGGGTAGTTTGCAAAGAGTAAAAAAATTCAACAAGATTAATGGAATTACATCTCAAACAAAAGATTTTGTCTTGAAGTTAAATATGAGGAACATAGATTAAGTAAACAAGTTACTAAAACTAACTGATTATCTACACTTTTACAGAGTATTACGTTAAAATTTGTTTGGTACATGGTAATAAATGGTGGTGAAGAGAATGAATATAAGTTTGTATCAAAAATCAAAGTCCACTCCCATGATAATAATAGTGCACCGCAAATTTTTATTACCATCCATCATCTTTGGAGTAACATTGGATATTAATGAACATTTATACAGTGGAAATTTAAATGTTATTTTGCTTGCCAACACATAAGATCATTCCCATTACCTTTATTTATAACTATCCACCAAACGAGCTGTCAACGTAAATTATAACACCATTCACACAAAATAGGCCATCAACTACTTAAAAGCTTACAATTCCCATCTTGCACAACGCTAACGATCTATGATTCCATGTCCAATGACAACATTGCTTTGCCAAATTACAATGTATACTATGTCATAAAGGTGCCATTTTTAGCAATAGTAAGGATATAATCAATATATTTTGGAGTACTAAAAGTACTCATTTTGCCCTTTCTTCCCTGGATTACATGAAGATGTGATCTTCAATACTCAATATACCCTACAGCCCAAAGGTAGGACACCCAATTACAAATAATCAAGGATCACAACTATCATTGGTAGGTAAACCACTGAATAATTGCAATCTAAGCAAGATAAAGACAACTCATTTCACTAATTCATCCAACAAATACCAACATAAACAAACCCCAACAATAATTCGTAAAACCTAAATCACGGGTCCACAAAATTATGATCCAATACAAACAAAATTCCCAAAATACATAGATTAAAAATTAAAATTAAAAACTAATAAAATGAACAGATCAATATGAAGAAGAAGAAACATACGGAATTCCGAGTGTCATAAGCAAGCCAAACAGTAGAAAATTGACCCCACCCCAATTTTCTCTGAGCAATGTAACGTCCGCCATTAAAGGAATCACCAACTCTCACCGCATGATAACCTCCTTTTCTATATGAATCGAACTCCTCCTCATCTTCCTCTGACCCAGAAGATGATGAACACGACATTATTCAAATTGATTAAATGAGTTTGAATTAAATTTGATTTTGAATTTTCTGGGCGAAATTAATGAATTTGGGGGTCGATTTGATCTGGGTATGATTCAAAAAGCTAGCTTTGTTGATGAGATGAAATGGATATTTTTCAGATGATTTGGGGGGAGAGAGAGAAAGAGAAAGGAGAGATTTTGGGTTTGCTGTAATTATATGTGGCCTTCAATTTCAAGACTTCTTCCACTTTTCTCTCTTTTTCTTATATCTTTCTCAACTTATTATTGATATTTTAGAACAAGATCAAAATCAATGGTCCTTTTTTTTTTTTTTTTTTTTTAAATAAAATTGTAGTGGGATTGGATCATGGTTTGTGGACCATCTAACAACTTTACCCTCCAACGATATGAGTTTGTGCGCCTTTCAGTAAGGCTTTATTTGGTTTGTAACTTTGTTGTGAGTCTTAGTTTTGGTGTTGTGACTATTTGTGAGGTGACGGTCAAGTTAGTTCACTCAGGTTGGGTCATGTCTTAGTGATTAATTAAACTAATCTTGTTTGGTGAAGATGGTGAGAAACTCATTTTGTGACTTTGAGGCTACTAATACAAACTCCACCATGTACACATGTTTAAATGTAGGAGATTTCTTATCTTTTTATCTACTTTCAAGCATTAACATTTGTACCTGAGTTAGTTAACCTATGAATCTGTGATAGGTAATTATTCAATATGTATCTCTCTACTTTTTAAAAAATAGTCACAATGACCACTCTCTCGATTATCTTGGAGTGAATAAATTTGAGTTATGTCATCAATTAGTTTTCAAGTGGGATATAATTTAAGTATGCATGCTGCATTCAGATTTTATGATTTTTTTTCTGGCCTAAAATAGTAAATGATACGTAAAAAATACTAATATCGATTTATAAATGGAGGGAGTTTTAAACTTGTGACAATTCTTTGTCATTAGAAAAAAACCTCATTCAACTTTTTTGAACGCACTTTAATACTCGTATAACTGTATAAACAGCCTAGCTTCGTAGGTCAACGCTTGATAGTAGAGAGGGGAGGTAAAGGAATCCCCTACTCCCAAGCAAATATAGTCAAGGGGGCTCGAACTTGTAAGCTCAAGTCACAAGGTGAGTTCCCCACCAACTCCACCAAAATTTGCTTAGTAAATAAGTATATTAGGTATCCATAGATGATTATTGTATGTTTTCATTCAGAGTATACAAGTAGACCCTAAACTAGAATATTGGCCCTAGATAAAATGGCCCTCGTAAGGTGGGCAGCTTGGACTTCAAGTTGGATAGAAAGTTGAAACTCAATTTCTTAAGATAAACAACTTAATTCCAGTGTAAAGTAGACAACCACAAACTAAAATCAGAAGATTCAGAACTACTTGTATTTGAGGCATACAAACTACACACAACGATACTACTTTTGGTATGTAATTTCATGTTGACGTGATATTGCATAGGCCTATACAAAACCATACGAGAATCCGAAAATCCGATAATCTGATCCTCAACCGATCCGAGTTTTCATATCCGATCCGAGTTTTTATTTAGGATCGGATATCTCCGATCCGAAAAAGCGGATATCGGATGCGGATTTGGATATTAGTTTTAAAAATTTCGGATATTCGATATCCGAAATATAAAGGCTGAAATAGTGAACCATAAATTTTTAAAATTGTTCATATAAAATTGACCCTGTATTATTAACTTATTATAATATTCTTAATATATTTTATAATAATATTTATTGCAAAAAGATTACTATTTTGTTAAAATATGTTGTACAAGTTAGCGATAAAAACGGAAAAATTAGTGAAATTTTGAAAGTAACCATAATCAATTTTTTATATCCGTATAATCATAATCGGAAAAATTAGTGGAATTTTAAAAGTAATCATAATCGAATTTGGATATCAATTTCTAATATCCGAGTATTCGGATATACGATCTGTGAACAGACCTAATATTGCACACAACACTCTATCATATGGTTTTATATACGAAGTAAGCTATAAAATTGTTTTATAAAATAGACGGACAATTTTACTATAGCTTATACTTCGTATAAAACTATAAATGATCAATATAGTTATAGATATAATTATATACTCCGTACAATAAAGTGTGCTACTTGTTTGCTGACCTTACCATACACTTGTAATTTGTAAACAAAGTGGTTAGTACGTACAAAATTAACATAATTAGGGGAATACACGCTTAATGTCACTACCAAACATGACGTTGAATTGGATGATTAAAATATAGAAACCACTCCAAATTAAAGTTACACAAATTACGTATGCATTAGTGCAGTCCTTGTCAATTTGTTTCCTCTTTTTACTCCCCATATACGAAGTTCAAATGCCTAGCGGTCTTATCCGAAGATGACTATGACGTCACCATGACAACAATATATTTTAGTTACTAATACTGTAATACAAATAGATTAATTAACACGGAGTAAACAAAAAATGATGTGTACTATTTTCGTCCCATTTTACTAGTATTGAAATTAATTAGAACTTTTGGATTAAAAAGTGATACTTTTGGCATGTTTAAAGCATATTATAATGTTACTACCAGGAAATTCCATTCTTATTTGACTGTTACAAACTTCCAACGCAGAAAATGTCCAATAATCAGAAAATAGATGGATTTAAGATGAATCTAGACGTTTTTGATTGATTTATTTATTTTATTTGGCGATTGTCTAGACGTAAGTTGCCCGTTTCTAATCAGAAAACAAGGGGAAGTCCATCCAGCTACTTAATAACGTTTTCTTTGCAGTCATTTTCATGGAAAGCAAGTGGCTTTTAATAAAGGGATGAGGAAAAAAAACTTAAAGTCCGCAACTAGCTTGCTAGATTACGTAGTGCGTGAACTAAAAAGGCTAAAGCCGAAACCCGACGGCGAGGGAGGCAAACAATCAACGTTGCATAACATGGTAAAGTGCAGAAAAAGTGAAGATGTGAAAATTACATCTTCACGAAAAACAAACAATGAAAACTGGAATTTGGTTGTCATTGATGCCTCAAAACAGAAAAAAACAATCATGCAGACGATGCTGCTGGCTTCGCAGAATTTGATGCCTCGAAACAGGAAAAACAATCATGCAGACGACAGCTGCTGCTTTAGCAGAATGAACGAAGTAAACTGACAAATCTCATACTATCATGATATCTTCTACAAGTACCATTTTGTGAAACCCACCAATATTGACCAGAGTGACCAAGTTATACAAGCAAAAGGAAATAAGCATGAAATTTCTCACTGCAAAGAAATGTAATTTGATTATTATCATTATCAGACAATTTGAAGTTTTTGCACATATATCATGATTGATCATACCAAAAAAATGATAACATTAAACACTTGATCATACCAAATCTAGGATTATACACACTTATGATACAGAATTGTGCTGTTCATAACACCTCAAGTACTTGTGTTATGCCATATCCTTGACACTCCGACCAACCATACAGGTACTTGACTCTGTGCTATCACACCATCGACACTCTGACAAGGGTATAGACACTTGTGACACTTCATTTTACACCTGAACCATGGTTTTCTTTCCATAATATAGCCAAGTCCTACACTTGAACACGAACGCCTAACACGAGTACTCAAGTAAATAGTCGACTAATGTTGAGAAACCATACAACAATTTTTCCAAAAATCAAGCTGTGGTACCGAAAATCTCCCTAAGAGAAATCATAGTACCAGAGACACCAAGAATAATGCCTATGACAACTATTGCTCCATCCAAGATCAGCTTTCCCAAACCTGCCTCATCTTTGAAAACAATGAAGTGGAAGAGAGCAGGGAAAACAAATCCCAACGCAACGCACACACTGCTTCCAACAAGTGACAAGAAATCGGCGAAATTGGGCACAAATAAGGCAATCAAAGCCACCAAGAAAATCATCAACCATCTAGACCACAAGGTATAGCTCCCTTGACTTAGCCTTCTATCCAACACCTCATAAACTGGGTTCATCATCAATGGGCATGAGAAGAAAAGGTTAATACACAACCCTAGTTGCACCAAAGTGCTCAAAAACCCGGTTCCGATGTTTGTGGTGATTATATCCCTCGTTTCGTTCCCGAAAGCAAGGTAACCCATTACACCAAATACAGCATACAAGATGGAAATCATTCCTGTTGCCAAACCCAACACCAATCCATAGTTCTTCTTATTCCTCGCCTCACTTTCCAAGGGCAAAACCATTCCAATCCCTTCAAACGAATAAGTACAAACACCAACACAATAGAAGAACACATTCCACCCTCCAAATGCCTGAACAACAGGCTTATTATTAGCAATAATAACTGCATCTTTCCCCATCACAACACCCATTGCTCCAAGTTGCACAACATCAGCAAAAATACTCAAAGGGGCTAAATGGGTCAATGTTGGAATTGAATTCAACCCTAATTGCAAAGGAAGACAACCCCAAATGTACCATTTTTTAGGGGTAAGACCCAGATAACTATGAGCCTGAGAAGCAGTACTATTGAACAAATGTGCAAAAGTATTCGAAATAAATATCATATAACTAACACAAAACCCAGCTTGTGATAAAATTATCATAAAATCAACACATAATTTCCCAACTGATCCACAAACAGCAAAACCCAGATCACCAAACGAATTGATTTTCGAGTATTCATTAACAGATTCAAGCTTTCTTCTAGTATAAACCAATAACATCATACAATAGTAAGTTAAAAGAGCAATTGAAAAGAGGGTAATCATACCAAACAACCAGCCCGCTTTCATGAAAGTATAAGGTAAACCCAGAACACCTGATCCTACAACAGCAATAAAAATGTTTGCTAAAGTTTTGAACCCAGAAGATTGTTTTGATTTACCTAAAAGTGGGGTATCTTCTCTTGCAATTGGGATTGAATTAGAGCTTGATCCTGCTTCATTTTCATTCTTCCTAAACCCCATATTGTTTTCTCTCTCAAAAAAATTCCAGCTTTTTCTGAATTTAAAGGTTTATGGAACTACCCAGATAAGAAATCAGTAGTTTTGAATTGTGGGTTTTTCTGGGAAGATCACAATTGAAATTAAATTTTAGGAATTTTAATTTGAGTTGATGATAAATTTGGATAGGGAAATGAAATTGAAGGGATTAGGATTTTTGGGGTTTGTGTTTCTAATGAATGGAATTGTTGGAAATGTGATTACAGGCAAATGATAGGTAAGTCAAACAAAACCCTTTTTGGCGTATGTATGTTGGATTGGTACACGGTCTTTATCAAGGGTTGTAATTTAATTTGTTATAGTGTTACAAAGATTTTTTATTTTATACGTCGTTTTTTTTTTAATATAGTGTTTCAAAGATTTTTTATATATTTTTTATATTTAAGGAAGAGAAAATATCAAGGATATGATGATAAGTAATCAAATACAAATAAGATTTTATATGACTTTATAATTAATGAGAGAAAATATGATTGCAATATGCCAGGAGACAAATGAGGAAAATATCTCATATTTCTAGTTAGAGTAAAATGGCACGTCAAAAGTTGCTCCTTAAAGAATGGTTAAAAATATTAAGAAGTTAAAATTATGGTTACTAATTTATTATGAATTCACCACCAAAAAAAAAAACAAATAAATAAATAAAAATAAGGGTAATGATATATGTAACCCTAAAGACTATATATAAGCATTAAATATACTTCTTAAAACGGAATTAAATTGGGAATTTATGATAAAATCACGCGCAGATCGATGTATTGATGTTACTTTATTTTCAATATTTCCTTTTTTAACATCTTATACATAGTTCTTAAGGTTATATTTATCATTTTTCTAAAAATAATAAAAAAAAAAGTTACTTGAAATTTAATTACTCCGTACAATTACTATTAGGAGAACGGTATAAAAGTTGCAACATCAACGTGAGGCAAGCTATTCCAAGTTTCCAACATGTGCTATGGACAGCCGTCATCCATTGGCTTTTAAGAACAGCAAAACCTCATGTGAAATTTGCAACAACAATACTTAAAATATTTTAACATCCTATCTTTGTAAGAAGCCATGCAAATTTCTACTCCGTATTTATTTATTTTTTGTATGAGTAATGTTATATGTAGTTTTTAGAGATATAAATAAGCATTAAATATTTTTTCTCGTTTAGTATTAATTTAGAAATACATGACAAATTCACGCGTAAATTAGTGTAATTAATGAACATATTTCATTTATATTTTCCTCTTTTATCTTCTTATACATAGCATTTTCCTTTTTCTATTACGGGGGGTGATTGGTTTGGTTAGAGGGGCAAGGAGAACGAGTTGAACGACCATACTAAACCGCTACCTTTTCACATGTGAACTTGTCTAGTTATGTAAATCAGGGTCATGGAGAATGAGGGGAGAGAATAATAAGGGAATTCTCACTTTAAGAGCCGACAGATAGGTGTTATTGTGACACATAGGATGCTAAGTAATAAGCGAATTTTGGATAGATTTTTGTAAAACAAAATTGTTGTATAGTGTTTTATTATCGATATACTTCTAATAATATTTCATATATACAAAATTAATTGTAACTTTTAATAAATATCTTATAACTCAGTATTATTTTCATTATAAAATTCGTTTTAAAAAATTCTTTAAAATGAGATCCATTTATAATATGTTTTCATAAAAAATAGAAAATCAATAAAAATAAGTTTTAATCAAAACAAATAATTTAGTGTGGTAAAAAACTAAAAATACTTTCAATTCATTAGAAATAATTTAAGTGCAATAAAACAATATCAATTTAATAATAACAAGGATATCTATTTACAAATAAAACTACAAAAAGTACGCTATAATGTAAATAAGCGATATGATATCGGTATGTCCAAATATTTTACATCATCAAAATGGATTATATGATCGTATTTAACATTCAAGCTAACAAGTTTAGGACAATCCGGGTATCGGGCTACGTAGGATTAAAAAAAAAAAAAAAAAAAAAAACGCCACGTAGGATTAATATTTAAAATGCTACAATAGGATTATGCCACGTAAGATTTTTTTTTTAAAGCGCTACGTAGGAATAAAATAATAAATAAATAGGAAAATGTCATATCTTAGCCAATGAAAAAAAGAATTACAATTTATTTTAGATCTAGAATTTTATATTAATTATAAAAATAAAATCAGCGCCTTTTCTTTGTAGCTAGTCATATCGTGTGGCCGGCTGAGATATACCAAAACACTGACCGAGTAACCCCTGATCATCCGAGAAACCCTTGACCAAGTAATACCGGTCACACGGTGTGACCAGTCACATATGAAATTTTGTGAAATAAAATATTATCTTTTTTAGGAATTTTTATCTAAATATGAAAAACAAAATTAATAATTCAATTCAAGTAGTAAATAAGCAAATATCGTAAAGTTTATCAGATAAATATATATTTAGTAAAATATTTTGTTTGAAAAAAATACAAACAAACAATATACCGCACGGGATTCATCTAGTTATAAAGATTATAAAATGTACTCGCGTACAAAGCTTAGTAATTTTGGCATGGTCCAGTCGCTTGCCAATTACTCATAATTATCAACTCATAGGAATGAGGCTCGCATACTAAGAATTATTTACTCATACAGAAATTAATGTTAGCACCAAAAAGACAAAAATTAATAAAAGTACTCAGTATCTTGATGTTTTGTTTTTATCCTCGTTCGACAAGAATAGCCCTGATTAAAAGAGTGTGGCTTAAAAAGTATAATCCATTGAACATTCTAGATTTAAAGATAAATAGTATAATTTGGATGAAAACTACGTGATGTTGATATTACTGTATTAATTGATGAATAAACCAGAAGAAAATTGCCATATGACAAGATTATTTACATTATATTTGTGACCTTTATTGACTGACATGTTTGGAATATGTTTTGTAGAAGTAGTAAATTATTTGTATACGACTATTTAATTAGTACCATATGCTATGCATGCAACTTGGACGGTGGAAGCTTGTCCCAGCTTGTTGCCTAAATTCGTCTATGTGCTGACTATCAAATACTTCCTCAATCTCTTATTTTTTGCCCCATTTGAAGTTTCACGGCTTTTAAGACGCGTGTTCAAACATATACATCTCAATTTCACATGAATATATTATCACTTAAAAATTAACGAAAATTAATGGTCAAAGTTTTATAAATTTTGACCCATATATTTGCCATGGGGCAAAAAATAAGGGATGGAGGGAGGAGACCACTTTCATGTCCCATCACACAAAGCAACATCGCCCTTCCGTCTGAATCTGGAATTGGGAAATTTAAGCGATCTAGGGGTTTTGATTACTCTGAAACAGAGTTTATGGAAATGTCCAACACTATTTTAGAAGTCTTGCTGAAGCTCAAAAGGACTTGACCTTGACTATGACCAACATGAAAAAAGCTTTGACTCATGGTTTGGATGTGCTATCATTTAGCTCGGTGTAGATAAAAATCAGTCGATAGCTGTGAATCATTCTAAACTAGGGAGTCAGCGGACTCAAGAGTAAGACTCCCCAGCTTATTTTACTTTGATTGATGCCAATTATCTCAGGGTTTTGTAAAACATTACTTGCATTGAGTTGATTTATATGACAAATTCAAGCACTAGTTGATGCTATTGTTTAATACTTGTATCTCCCTTGTTATTATTAACACTTTAACAGTTCACAATTTCGTGAAATTTACATGCTAAATCTGTGCTCGCTAAAGAGCAACTCTTCTCAAAATCTCAAAAAAAGGTGATAAGTTGGAATCCAATTCGAACTAAGGATTCTTGTGGTTCCGGAGGATCCGGCTACAGGAGAACTAGGAACAGAGAGCTTTCCCCCCTTTTCCGCCTGACCCCTTGGTCTTAAGAATGCTGATTTTAAGGTTTTAAAAATGAGTGATTGCCCTTCTCCAACCCTTACTGCCCAACCTGGGAGCGGACAGCTAATGCGTTCCACTTATTGAATTGAACAGGGTTCTATGGTCGGCCCGTGACCCCTGGATGCCGAAGGCGTCCTTGGGGTGATCTCGTAGTTCCTACGGGGTGGAGACGATGGGGTCGGTCCATGGATTTTCCTTCCTTTTGCCGCATTTCGCTCAAAGGGTTGAAGGGAGATAGTGCATCAAGTTGTTCGCAAGGGCCAACTTGATCCTCTTCCCCAGGATCCAAGATTAGGGAACCCTAGGAGAGCCGCCGACTCCAACTAATGTCCATGTACGATCCATACTAGATCTGACCAACTGCCCATCCAACTACTGTCCATGTACCCTCCTGACTATTCTAACTCCATTACATTCACGCAAAAAACTCCGGGAACATAGGTTTGGAGCATGCTCTATCGTTGGACAAACCTAACCAAATGGATCTCAATTCACCAGAAAAAGTCGAGCACACTAATTATTTGCTAAGAATGTGAAATTTATCAAGACAGTTCCATGGCTCAACGAAATTCAGCAATCACCCCAATTCAAGCAGCAGGTTGATGGGGATCTCTATCACATGAAAACTTGCTCCTAAAAATCTCCATGGCGCTCGAAACTCGACATTGCCGGAGAATTCATCACAGAAGGGCTCTAACTTGGGTACCAAACTACTACAACACACTTGTAACTTTGTAAGTTCATGAACAATCAAGGAGATGTTCAAGGCTGCAAATGTTGGTTTCTGCTACATATAGGAGATTGACTAAAAGGGTGCAACATTCTACCTTCTTATCAGAAATGATTATAAAACTCCACCGTTTCTAAGCTAATCAAACCCATAAATGGTTTAAATCTGAGGTTTTCCTATTTCTGGAACATTTATCTTCGAAATTAAAATCCTACCCGTTTCCACCTTCATTTGATGGTCAATCAAAGTGATTTTTTTTTTAATATACACCCCAAGATTAGTTTTTGCTCTTTATTTTTTTGAGATAGCGTTTTTGCTCTTCATTTGATTGTTAAAGGAAAAACAATCATAATACACCAGGGTGTATATAATAATATCTCCCACCAAAGCCTCATACCAAGCAAACCAAAAATTCCAATTTACACCCAAAATGAACAAAACATCAAGATTATTGAAATATATAGAGTAATTTTGTCCAAATTACATGAAAAAAGCATGTAACATTGTTACAATCATAACAAAAACGTTGTAAAAAAAAAATCATAACAAAAAGGCAACAAAATAAAAATTTCAAAGGATCAACAACAATAACACAAAAATCAAAAACCCTAACCCTAAACCCCGAAAAATCAATCCAATTCTTTAACAACATTAATTCCCATAGATTTAGCAGAACCAATAATAGACCTAGAAATACTTTCAATCGACAAATGTTGACAACCAGGATCTTCCTTCTTAATAGCAGCAATCTCATAAACATGCTTCAAACTCACCGACGAAGCGACGACATGTCCAGGGCGACCACTGGCAGATTCAACACCAGCAGCTTGTTTCAGAAACCATGAAACTTTGGGAGATTTGATGACGTAATCGAATGTTTGATCCTTGTATGCGATGAGGGAGACAGCCATTGGAGCTTCGGGTTTGTACTTTTGAGTACGAGCATTGAAATCCTTGCAAAACGCCATTAGATTTAGCTTGAGTTGACCTAGGATTGCTCCGACAGGGGGACCGGGTTTGGCGTTTCCTGCTGGGATTGTTAGTCGGACTGTCGCCATTACTGGTTTTCTTACGAGGTCTTTTGCTTTTGCTGCCGCCATTGTTGAAGAAAGAGAAAGAGGAGAGAGAAAGTGAGTGAGAAAGAGGGGTTTCTGGGAAAAGGAAAGAAGAATTGGAGAATTGAGGTTTCTAATTTGGGCCGTAATTGTTTGTTTTTTGGGCTCAGATTTGGGCTTGGTCTTGGGCTAAGGTATAAAGTTTGAAGTCGGAAAAAAAGCTATATGATGCATCTCAACTCTCAACTGGATTGGTATTTTCTTCCTTATTTCCATAGCTTCAAATAAGACAAAAAAGAGTAGTCTTATAATGGTTGGATTGGGTGTTCGAATTGTGAATGAATGATATGGAAACACGTTTGGTTAGTTAGTTCGGGTGTTGTGTTGGATGAATGAGTTGGTTAGTTATGTCTGGTTATCTGAATTGGATCAAGTTTGTTTTTTTAACAATTTTTTTTTTCTCCTTGTAGGTGTATAAACAATATAAATGTGTTAAATCTATCTCACATAGTCACGTAAGACGACTAAATTGGTATGTTAAATTCAAACTATAATTCTCAACTTCAATAGAGTTTTGCCATTCCTGTATGAATTTCAAGGACAAAAGAGAGCATGTGGTAGAAAGATGGGTGTGTGGTTTAGTTATGGGATTCTATTTGGATTTTGGGGGAAAAGTGTTCTTAGAAGTTAGAGACAAACATATGTAAAACATGCAAAAGAAGTCCTACAAAAGGAAAGAAATTGTGATTGTCTCATAGATTTTCCAAATATGACAAGTGTGCTCAGGTATGAAAAAATAAAAGTGGGAATATATTTACATACACACCATATATTGTGGGGTGATCTAATATATGAAAAGGAGTGTCCCCTTGCTAGTACATATGGAGGAGTAAGTACAGGCCTGTACCTGGTATATATAATCAATACTCAAATTCTTTTTCTATTTTTGTTTATACTGTTACTATTGATAGATACTTACTTTGTTCTTGTTTACTTGACTTATTTCTTTAATTACGTTCGTCAATGTAAAATTTTAACGATTAATAAATTTAATTCTCCATAAGTAAAAATTACTCCGTATAAAAGTTATATATTATGATAGTACTTCTTGAGACAAATTCAAAAATATCCCAAAATGAATATGTTTTTCCTTACCTATTATTCATAAAAGACGGTCAAAAGAGGGGTGGTGAATAGTGTAAAATGGGTCAAATAAAAAAGAACGGAGGAAGTATATTGTTAAAATTAATTTTAAGAACTGTTATTTTTTATTTTATACTGTTATTATTCTAGCGAGATTTTCGATGCAAAAAGAGGGAAAGAGAAAAGAGAGTATTTTTTATAATACTATATTTTTTATTTTATACTGTTATTGTTGATTTTATACTGTTTTCACCCCTTAGTATGGTCCATATCTGATAGCGGGCCATCACGCCCATATGGAGTGAACTCCACTCCTCATAATAGGCAACACTTGGTAGTTGGTAGTTACAACTTTCTCCTATTTTCTTCATTTTTTTAACTTTGAAAATCATTATTTATTTTTTCTTTTTTAATTTCTTTGCATTATTGCCTTCTTTCAGTGAAAATTCGGCTACTTTGTTAAGTATGTGGACTCTTATATATATATTATATATAGACGGACTGTTGATAACTTGCTATTTTATGCGGTTTTAGGGCGTATTTGAACCTAGTTTACCTGAACAAATTTGTGTTTTGGTTCACTTTTACCCTATTATTATGCAATTTTTGTGTATCCTATGCTTCACGGGTTGTTAGTGTTTTTGTTGAGATTTTAGGTCCAAAGACGACCAAATGAAGCCCATGGTTACCAAACCGAGGTTAGAAGCAAGGAAATGATGGAAAGAATCCAAGTACAAGAGCATCGTAGAAGAAAACACGAAGAAAAGGGCCCAGAAGACCCTGCACGGCCGTGCAAGATGTTGCACGTCCGTGCAGGAGTGCAGACTTGAAGCCATCTTTCTGCCAAGGCCTGCACGGACGTGCCAAATATTGCACGTCCGTGCAGATGATGCAGCACGGACGTGCTTCAGTGATTATGAGGCAGCACGTCCGTGCAAGATGTTGCACGTCCGTGCAGGAGTGCAGACCTGAAGCCATCTTTCTGCCAAGGCCTGCACGGACGTGCCAAATATTGCACGTCCGTGCAGATGATGCAGCACGGACGTACCAAAGGTGCACGCCCGTGCTGCAGCAGGTCGTCTTAAACTGAGTTTCTGCCTTGGTCTGCACGGACGTGCCAACTTCAGCACGTCCGTGCAGACCTACAGTTTACCCGTTTCTTGTTTTCACCGTCCTCTTATTTTAGGGGGTAATATAAATAGCCCCTTTGGACCATTTTAGGGGGGTTCCCAATTTTTCCAGATTTTGATACTCCTCTTAGTTTGAAACACAAAAATCCTCAAATTAGCATAGATTTTAGTTCTTGTTTTGAAGGTTTTTCAATCCAATCATTGTAGAAGACAAGTTCCACCATTGTTAGTCAATTATTGAAGCTTCTAGTAATTTTTTCTTACTCTTTCTTTCTCTCTTCTATCTTTAATTCTTGCTTTTTATTAATTGTTTGGTTGTTCTTTTCATGTTTAATTGTTAGATTCTACTTAATTCTTAGTTTTAATTTGTTCATGAATTCCTTGAAATCTTTAATTGCTTTAACCTCCATGGATTGTGAGTAGTCTAAATTCTAGGGTTTGGGTAAACCCCTCAATGTAGTCACTAATTACTTGTTGCATGTGCTAATTTGGTTGTTGTGGGATGATGATTAGTTGAGCTTAAGTGGTTTAATTGCTTAGTTCTTGTATATGGCCATTGCTAGAACTATTTATCCAAGCTTTCTCAACGAAGGATCGAGAGATGAACTTGAGTTAGCTCCCTTATGCTTAATTGACCCGAAATGCCATGAGAATAGGGATTACCGGTCAAGGGAATGTTTATGTCATCGTGATTATGCTTTAACACTTGTTTTATGCTATGTAACCACGAGAGTAGGTTATGGTTTTGATGTCAAGTAATCCCTCTAACTTGAGAGAGTAGTTGGGTGCATTTGATAACTTCCCCTAATTTATCCCCTAAATCACCATTTCTATGCATGCTACTTGTGGTCCGTGATGAAGTTTAGTGGTGTAACCCATGCCCTAGGCCTTCTTAATATTGTTAATCACCTCTTAGAATTAGTTGATTTGAATTAGAATAGTGTGACGTAATACCAACTTAAAACCCCCGACTTAATCTAGCTTGTTTAAACAATAACATTTGGTGGTTGATTCAACGCCTCTCATGGGTTCGACCCTTTCTTGCCCTTGCTACTAGTTGAGTAGGATCGAGTTAGGTCTTATTTCTTGATAGGTTGACGACGACCTATCAAGTTTTGGCGCCGTTGCCGGGGAGGCAAAGTCACATTGAATAAGTTATTGTTGAATGAGTCTAGATTTGTGTATATGTATATAATCTTCTTATTTTGTTTTTGTTTAAGCGTGTTTACTTTGTGATAGTCATTGCTAACGTTTTCCTTAGCTTTGTTTGACTGTGCATGACACGGAGGAGTAAGCAATCACCGCTTATCCCCGTAGATCCGGAGTTAAATAGAACTTTGAGGAACGTAAGAAGGCTCCTACAAGGCACGCCGGAATTTTCTCTAGCTTATACGGATTCCGAGTCGGAGGATAATCTTGACAACGAGCAAGAGATGGCCAACCCACCGCCTCCTCCACTTCTACAAGACTATGACCACCCCGATGCATTCCAACTTCGGAGTGGCATACTTCTTCCCACCACCAATGCAAACAACTATGAGTTCTCTCCTCAACTCATAAGGATGATCCAAAGTGAACAGTTTGGGGGGAGTGCAAATGAGTGCCCTCTAGCTCATTTAGACAACTTCCTTGAGTTGTGCACTACCATCAAGCAAAACAACCTCACGGAGGAATTCATTTGGATGCATATGTTTCGGTTCTCTCTTAGGGACAAGGCTAAGTGTTGGTTGAGGTCCGTGAAAGAAGGATCCTTAACAACATGGGAAGAGGTTACCAAAGCATTTCTTGGGAAGTTTTGTCCGCCCGAAAAGACCGCGGAATTGAGAAGGAAGATTACAAGCTTCACTCAAGAGGATGATGAAACCTTAGGTGAAGCATGGGAAAGATTCAAGGATCTAAAGAGGAAGTGTCCACACCATGGGTTGCCTTTATGGATGATTATTCAAAGCTTCTACGACGGTCTCACTCCTACCTCAAGGGCCAATCTTGACAACGGAGCCGGTGGTAGTCTTAAAAAGCTACCGGTGGAAGAAGCCGAGAATATGATTGAAGAAGTTGCAAGGCATTACGCCTATAGATATGATAGAAGAGAAAGTCAACCGAAGAAGAAAGGTATGCATGAGTTGAGTGCAATAGATCTCATTGCCTCAAAGTTTGATATGCTAGCTCACAAGCTAGACCAAGCAACCTCCTCAAGCGGTACCTCCTCTTCACAACCACAACCACAAGTCATGTCTTGTGAGACTTGTGGGGGTAATGATCACATGGCTTCATATTGCAATGCTACTAATGAGCAAGTTGCGGCCATGAACCAAAGAAATGAGCAACCTTTCAATCAAGGTTGGAGGCAACAAAACCAAGGGTGGAGACAACCCAATCAAAACCAACAATCCAACTACAACAACCCTCCTCAAAACATCTACAACCAAAATCAACAAAATCACCAAGCCCCATACCGCCATCCAAACCAACAAAGACAGCAATTCAACCAACAACCTCCTCCACCCCAAAAGACTTCCCTTGAGGCCGCTCTTGAGTCTTTCATAAATCAACAAGGGAAGAGCAATGCAGAAATGAGCTCCAACATCCAACAACTTCAAGCGCACAACAAAATAATTGAGAATCAACTAGCTCAAATTGCACAACAAGTTGGGAGTTCTACCTCCAATGCTAGTGGTTAATTTCCAAGCTCAACGGTTGTGAACCCAAAGGAGCATGTCAAGGCTATCACATTGAGGTCCGGGAGAGGGTATGAAGGTCCGGTAATGAGTGAAGATGTGCCACAAAAGAGAGATGAGGGTGTGGAGGTGAGAAGTGAGAATGATGTTGAAAATGAGGTGGTAGAAGTTGAGAGAAAAGAAAAAGAAAAGAGTGTTGAGGGAGACACAAAGAAAGGAGAGGGAGTTGAAGTTGAAGTGGAGAAACCCCCAATGAGAGTCTACAAGCCACCTATTCCTTTCCCTCATAGGTTGGTAGAGAAAAAATT